TATATAAATTATTACAAAATTATAATATATAAAACCCATCTAATTTAGGCCAATTTATATTATAACTCTAATCCTGATCCTAACTATTTGTAAATTTACTTAAATTGATTCAAAATAGTTAATTTATATATATTATAATTAAATAATAAATATATTTGCCTACCTATACTAAAAATCAACCCAATAATCTTTTTTAATTAATATTTTATGTTCAAAAACTAACAATCCTGAAGCATTAGTAATTGTTAATAAAATAGTAGAAACACATAATCATATTTTAAGTAAAACAATAATAGAATTTAAAAAGACAAAAAAATTTGTAAATAAAATACTAAATGACATTAAATTTATAATTGTTTTTTGCAAATTCAGTGCAACTTATCAAAAAAAGTTTCTTAAAAACAAATATTCATTACAACTAATTTATTCAAAAGACCTGTATGTAATTATTAATAAGTTTTATCCAACTCAAAAATCATTATACAATGATGCTGCAAAAGTTTCTAACTAGTTAGATAAGCAGAAAGATTTAAATTCTCAATAGTATATAGTATAAGACTAGAATAATGATAATGTTTTAATATATTTAATGTGAATGACATCAGAATAAATAAAAAATTGGATACAATATTCTGATTATATTTTGAATAATATTATATACAAAACAAATTGATATGGAATGGCCTTGTTTTTATTTGTTGGTTTTAATAATGATTATTACAATATACTACTTGTATAAGGTTTTTTGAAGAATGAGAATCTTGAATCTTATATATAGATGTTTTATCAAATAATAAAGGCAATAGATATACATTCAGTTGTTATACTTACAGATGCTGATCCTGTTGTAGATTTAATCATATACCAAATTTTTCTCTCAATATATCCTATTTATAATATATTTTATATAATGCAAAATCTATATAAAAATCTAAAAAAATACTAAAAAATGAGTATCAAAAATTTTTTAATAAGTTTGATTTTTGTTACAATAGTTTTGTTGAAAATATATTTCAGTAAAAATTTATTAAACTTTTAAATAACTATCTGAATGACCAAAATTATTTAAAATTCATTTATATAACCAAAACATATTAGACATACTATTTTATAAGATTTAAGTTTACTGACAGCATGGTAGCAATCTCACATATAGAATCTGTAAATGAGTATTTGAAATGTTTGTTTCTCAATTCAAATATATCATTATGTAAGCTTATAACTGAGATTCATCAACTTTTCAATTTATAAGATAAAAAAAATGAATATAGGTTTTGAAAATTATCAATTTCTACTATATGAAATTAAAACAACATAAATCTTTTATTTACTAAAATAGACAAATGTCTTCAAAAATATCTTACATCTACTATGCTAAAAATGTATAGAAATAAAATGAGTTAATCATTATATTATGTTATAAGTCCTGTAGATATAAAAATTGTTAAAAGTGTAAATGAAATAAATATCCAAAAATTTCTTATTTTTATATTTAAATTTTCACATGATAATACACAGCTTTTATTATTTTAATTTAGTATAATAGTTTTTTTTTATTTTTTAAATTGATCTTTTTTTGATTCCTTATTATAAACAATATCATTTACTACTGTTTATAGTAGTTAGTAGGTTGCTAATCAATTATATTTATAAAATAGGATGATTAGATTATATTAGAAAATGATGATGCTTCTCAAACCTTACTAAAATAGATGATTGAATTCATTGGCTCTTCTAATATTACTGAGACATAGAACATAAGTGTAGAAAACTCTATACAAGTAAAACATTATGTTTTATTATTACAAAATCAAAAACATATTTGTTCTTATCTGTCTATTATTCATTATAGAATTGTTTGCAGACATTATTTCCAAACGACGTTGACTACAAAGAATGCATATTTTCATATTCGATTCATTCCATCATGTTGATATAGTAATAGTAAGGATGGTAATAGTGAGGATGGTAATGGTAAGGATGGTAACAGTGAAGATAATAACAGTAAGAACAAAAATAGTTCCAATAAACCTTTTTTATTGGCAGATAAATTTATGCATATGAATCAAAACATACCACATAATTCAAATAATGCAGTAACATATTTATGTCATTTTGATCAAGGCTGTAAAGACTTTTATAAAAAAAGTTTGACTATTCTTGAGCAAAAAGTTATATATGAAAAGCTACATAATGCATATAAGAAGGCTCTTCATAAAGCACTGCAAACTAATTATAATTCAAAACAGCTTATCATTTTACTTAAAGATTTTATTGAAGAGGATAGCAATTATGAATCCGATTCAGATGAAAGTTTATAAAATAGTGATAATGATAAAATTAATAATGCTACAATTTCTTTATTAAAAAATCCAAAAAAAGTATCAAACAAAAGGACAGCCATTAGGTACTAAACGAATAAGTCATCTCAAGAAACATCCAAATCTAAGGCAAAATGTCAGTGTCGATGTAAAAAATATGGAAATACAGGATATTACCAAAAAAATTGCAAGGTATTTGTTATTAATCAACTGTTATCAGCTGTATTTATTTATTCAGATATTGATATACTGTATTTTATTTGGAAATAACCTCTAAACGCATAGATTAATATACGTAACATACATGCAATGTGTCAAACTTTGAACTTTAACAGGTATGATATTTATTATTTCTGAGTAGTATAATTGTTATACTGTTAAATTTTTTTAAAGAAATATTTTGTTCGATGAGCAGATTAAATATTAATTAAAGATTAGAATTATTTGTGTATTTGATTAACTGTATTTGTATTAAGAAGTTATTGATTAATTAAGTGGGTTTTAATAAATCATATAGCTTTTTGGGGGGGATTTTGACACTGGAACAATGATTAAATTCTAACCAATTGAGAGTTTTTAAGTTAACTCAATAATTTAATTAACACTTTTTTTATATGTATAAAGGTTGGAACAGTATTGGCGATATCACAAAATAGTCACACCAAAACCACAACATTATATGAATGCAATTAATCTGTCAAAACAATATGCCCGGAGGTCTATTTAATTGCACAAATATAGATTACAAATGAGCAGTAAAAAATTAATTCCTGTTTAGTATTTGCCAACAAAAAAAAAGAAAGCATAATTTAGCAATAAAGTGATGCATTATCTTATTTTGTTTTGTCAAAATGCAACTTAATAACTTTGCTGTGCAATAGCGATAGTGTAAAACAGCTAGTAATATGGCAATTAATAGTCAAAAGCATGGAATTAGACAGGAATTGCATCGATCATTGTAAAATATTGCAAAAAGATTTTGTTTCAACTATCCAAAGCTTATTGAACATAATTGTAAAAAGACATCTAACAAAATTAGTAAATTTGCCTCTTGTTTGCTATATTTATCCCAATTAAAAAGTTTACCGATAGGCAAAAAAATTTGCCAGTTTTTGGATTTCTTTTAAAGGGGTTTGTAATTTACCACCATGGCGACATATCGCCAGTTTCTTATAAACTTAAACTTTGCTTATAAACTATTATATCATATAATAGCTTGACATTCGAGATATTAATAAAAAAGGTAAATAGCGATATATCGCTGTTGCGATAAATTACAATTTGCACAAGGATCAAAAATTAAAATATGAATTACGTAATGGGGACTGGCCACTGCGATAAATAATAAAATCCTTAAAAAAAAATAAATATATATAAATCTATATTACTTATTAATATATTTCTGTATTATTCTGCACTTACAACCTGATTTCATAATTTTGTAAAAAATTATTGTTCCTGATAGGAATATATCTCTTTTGAACTCCTAATAGTAACCTTAAATAGTTTTTTTTATACCCTTTGATGTATCATTGTACTCTCTGTCTCTCATTACATTTGTAAATAAAATCCAACAACTTAATGCTTATGATCTGAGCTATTTGTAACAATGCATTTCTCCACATCGTAACCAACGTACCATATAGCGTTGCATGTAGTACCGGGATGACATGAATTTTTTATGTAACATGCTTTAGAAAATGAGTGCTTGTTAAGTTGTGTACGTTCCCGTGTGGTGCTTATTAGGTGAAAGTACCTAAACGATAATCCAGTCAAGTATCATAGCCAAGAAAATAAAATGCTAGTAAAAGTCAAATTGCACACATGGAGTTAGAAAACCTTCGTATTCAAGATCGAGCACATATCCCAATACTGGATAAATTAACAACTTTATTTTGGAATATTGTTCGATGATAATATAAAACCCGCAACGAGTATGATGAAGAGAGAATACACTAACTGCACCATTTTTTCTAAGTTTATGTCTGTGGCCCTGCACTAAATTGATGTCGAGTTATAGTCTCTCACAGGTTCACAACACGATTCACAAGTTTGTGTTTATACTATCGTATTATTTTTTTCTATGCTTATTGTCCGGATCTCAGATTCGAACTGAATCTTTTTTTTTTATTTTTCGATAATATCGAATTGAACTCCACCCTCAGAAATTCATAGGCAGAAGTTTGTCAGATCGGCTAATACATTCAATTTAATTTTACATTATTTATACAGTTTAGAGTACTTTTTTAAAAAAAAACGAAAACCAATCATAATGAAATAAAAAAAGCTGTATAGAATGTTTTATTAGAGCTGTAGGACCCTATAGCCAGAAATAAATTCTCGTCCGTTTAAAAAAAATTAGCTTAGTAATAAATTGAATTTATTGGGGTTTGAGAAGTTATTACTATACTAACTTTTTTAAACGGACGAGAATTAGATCTTATTTTTGGCCATGGAGTCTAATGAAACCTTCTATACAGCTTTTTTTATTTCATTATGATTAGGTTTCGTTTTTTTAAAAAGTACTCTAAACTGTATAAATAAATTGAATTTATTAGCCAATCTGACAAACTTCTGCCTATGGGTGTGGAACACCTTAAACCAGCAAGTATAAAAAATTGTGAACAAATTTTATGGACATGTTATATAGCTTTAAGCTATATGATTGGTTAATATAAATTAATATTTTTTAGAATTTAGAAAAAAAGTTTTATAATTCTGGCCAGAATTATAAGAATTTTACCAGAATTCTGGTGGATAAATTTTTAGTTTTATGAATAACTTTAAAACTTTTTTACAATATCAAAATTTAATAATTATTGTAACCTTATTCTGGTCTTTCATTACATTTTTACAAAAAAAAAAAAAAAATTTGGTTTAGCTATACTAGTTATCTTTGTGATGCAGTTTAAAAATCGACTATTTTACTTGCTGGTTTAAGATGTCCCACACTTAGTCATCCATCATTCTCACCGTCAAAATATTTCAACCGGTTCACCCGATTTCAGATTATACGGTTATTCGGGTGACGGTTTTGCATCCGGTTCGGAACTCTAATTACCAACCAAAAGATGAATATGTCAGCGATAATCACGAAATTAATCCTGATGATGATGATGATAATGAATAGGATGCTTGCAATTTCTCAAAGTTTAGTGTTTTAAACATAAAACCAATAAATTTATTGTGTGAATGCATGCTTTGCTCTCAATTTGTGATCAAAGTATTGATCTTGAATTATATTTAATTAAGCATGCAATTTGCTAACATTTAGGCAATTTAAATATTTGTCAATTTCATCAAATACAAATGCTGTAACGGAATTACTGTATTATAATTAAGAACATTACAATTGTGTTAATAAAAGAATACAAAGAGGAAATAAAATATATTGGCCGAATGATTTGAAACCCATGGAGTCTAGAAGTTGAATAATGTAATAAGTAAAATTGAGATTTTTCTTATATATTCCTAATAAAACACTTTTCACATATTTAGCTTTCCATATTGATTGAACTTTAAAGGTTTGCAAGGAAAATTAGTATGTCACGTTGTAATGCCCGCTTCGACCTTTTTTTTTAAAAAAAGGTATGCAGGGATAGTTGAAATATTGTGATTCCGGCTTCTGCTCATGTTCGGACATCCGGGTCACTTGCTCAAATTCATCACGTGGATTTTCCGTCTTCACTAATTTAAAAATAATATACTGTACGTAGACAATTTTCCTACCAATTAAGGATTAAATATGAACTAATAAAAATGTAAAGCAATTAAGTCGCTTCGAATTTTAAGAACGTTTCGTTTCATGCTTGTCTAAAGTCGAAGATTCCATTTGAAAATCTTGTTAATCAAATTAATTGGTTAACCAATGAATAAATTATACTTAATCTTTTCCACAATTCATAAATTTAGTTTTGTAAAACTATGGATTCGGATTGGAATTCTAACCTGTTATCGTTATATAAAACGCGTTGTTTGCTTTTATCTATGTGTTGAAACGGTCTCACTGATAATTAATAAATTTCTTTGTAAAATAAAAAGGAGTGTAACTACTAAACTATGAAATGTTTTAAACCAACAGTTATAACTTCGTAAGCGGAAAAGGTAAATGTGATGGCTTGTAAAACAAGGTTGATCTACACCATTGTGCGCTGATTGCAGGTTATAATAACCCAACACTAACCAATTATAAAATTTGATTTACCTTATATAAAGCTGCAATCGAATCGTTTGTATTTTCTAACAATAACGATAAAAAAGTTCTTTTTATAAAAAAAAAAAAAAAAAAAAAGTTTGGTAAGTTAAATGATAAAATCGATTACAAAGAAATCTTATATTGTAATGATACATGTAATTATAAATGGTACAAAATTTCCATAGAACGTTTTACAATTTCACGAAGAGGTTTCTCCAAATCGTAAATCAGACCAAGGGTTTGTTTATTCCGGGATGATTTTATTGTTATCACTTGTAATATTCCTATTTCGGTTATCATTATAATTTCTTTTTAAAAAATTTCGTATATATGATATTGAAGAGGGATTATCTTCCGCCAATTAAATAATAGTTTTTATTAACATATAAAAAGAATTTATGTAAAAATGGGTAACCAACATTCTGAACAAAGAAATAATGATTCATCAACCGAAAAATCAGGTCTATCATCTATATCAGGTATAGACATGAAGTGGGGAACTTGTCCAGAGTGTAAAAAGCCAAACACTGGATGGAACTGGTGCCAACAATGTAATTCTAAACATTTTCAACGAAGTTTTCAATATTGGACTAGCAATAATGAAATTATAGATGAATTCATAAGAGATACACAAATGTTAGCAACAACTCATTCACACGTATTTGAATGGATACCCTATAAAAAATTTTATAAGATAGAATATATTACACGTGGAGGATTTGGTAAGGTTTATTCAGCAACCTGGTTGGATGGCAGAATTATGAATTGGGATGCAGGTCCCCGATTGTGGAAACAGTATAAACATAAACAAAAGGTGGCGTTGAAAACTATTTATAATGGGATGGAAATAACGCGAGAATTTTTAGCAGAGGTAAATAAATAACATTATATATCCTTTATTCATTAGTTGGCTGTGTCATCATTAAAGTTCTTTTTGGCCTTGTCGCGTTTTAGATCAAATCACATGCAGAACATGATGATCCAAGCTACATTGCTAATTGGTTTGGAATCTCACAGGATCCGTTGAGTAAAGAATATATAATGGTCATGAAATATTTTGAACATGGAAGTATTCGCGACTATTTACGAAATAATCATATAAACTGGTTACAGAAGATGAAGTTTATACGACAAATATCGTTTGCTCTTTCCACAATTCACGAATGTAACTTTTGTCATCGAAACCTTCATACCGGAAATATATTAGTTGATCACTTTCCATTTGCCAGGATCAGTGATTTGGGACAAGGCCATTTAATTAACACTCGTGGAGAATCAGGTTCTAAAAAAAACACTATATTTGGTGTATTGCCTTACATTGCTCCGGAAGTGTTAAGAGGATATGAACACTCAAAATCCGCTGATATTTACTCTTTAGGTGTGATAATTTGTGAAATATTTTCAGAGCAACCTCCATTTAACGATATTGCTCATGACTTTCAGCTTGCAATGGGCATTTGTAAAGGTGATCGACCACAAATCAAACAAGATGTTCCATCACCTATTGTTAATCTGATTCAATTATGTTGGGATGGCGAATACTATAAACGCCCAACAGCAAAGCAACTGGTTGCAATTCTTGAAAATGCATTAGAAAATGATTGGAAGATACCACCGGAGCTTATGGATAATGATAAAAAGATTGCTGATGAAATCAAAGAGTTCTTGAAATCTCATGGGAAGGAAACATTATCTGATTTTAAAATATATATAAAAGATCAAAACAATAATCATCCTGAAGCTATTTATAAAAGTCGAGAATTAGACTTTTCAGAGCTATCGGAATCAATGGATTCATATGAGGTAATTTTATATATTATATATAATTACATCCAATACACAGTTCCAACCCGGTTAATATTTATTCTTATATATTTTTTTTGACACCTCATTAGAAATTACTGCTGCAGAATATTTCTAGAGGTATGATCCTTGTTATTATTACAGATTAAACATATGCTTTTATTTATGAATAATTCGCCAATAATTCTTTTTATTAAACCATTCAGACAATAATAAGTCTGATGAAATTGGATAATGCTGTTAGCATTAACAACATAATACGTTGTCATTTTGTACAGAGGGGTTAAACGGGCAGGGTTCTGACATCATGATTCGATTATTTTATAGCACATCTTCATGTTGAGTTTTTCTTGCATATCATGCTATTTTATAGCATAGTCTTTTTTTTTTTAAAAAAAAAGCCAATAATAAAATTTATGTAAGACGTTATTTTGCTGGCAATTGTTGCTGAATGTCTTGTTGCACAACTAGTTCGTAATTATAGTTAATTAAATTTCTAATTTGATTAACCAATTCGGTTTAAAATTCAACAGATATTTTATATGATACGGTTACACAATGACAATTTATATATGGTGTAAACTAAGCATGACTCAAAAGATTTTAAAATATTAGTAAAATCTCTATATTAACACCAAACATTTTTGATCGTTTGGATACATAAATTTAAGGAATTTTACCCACAGGCCTACCGAATAATTGGTTACAATTAAATTTTATTATATCGATATGTGTAAATAATTATAATCAATTAAAATCATCATAAAAAATAATTGGTTCCAATTAATGAAATAATTGCATCTCGATATGTTGTTTTTTTTCAAATTACGTGTACGTATGCATGTACTTACATATATTATGTCTTTCATTACATATTTTATCATTTGCAAACCGCAGTAAAAATTGCTATTAACTATTACTATAGGTACGGACTTATTTACCGGTTAATTGTGTCTTATTTTATAACCCGATTTTTTATATAGGTCATAAGTCTGCATCTATACTATTAACTGACATATGTGATTGCATTACCAATCAATTATTGTGGCAATTAGGGCGTAGGGTCGTTTTCCGTTCACATGTAACCTTTATGTTCTGATATCTGGTCAATAGCGATAGGTGATATGCAAGGTCACCAAAATTCTACGGACACATGACCGTATTAGCGACGTACCAAAAAATTTTCAAGTTATGGTTAGCGTTTATATTGAGATTAGATTTTGGCAAAAGATATAGTAAAATCGCACAAGGAAAACTTCTGTTATACCACTAAAGGTGGTTTCATATGCTGGTTTTTGATTTACATCTGATTTATGGCAGAACGAACGTTTATTTTGAAATATGACTGGTTTGCGCCACAAAAATATCGCGTGTCCGTAAAATTTTGGTGGCAATACTGAAAAGTATTTTTTGAATACTATATGAAAAAAAAAAATTTTTTAAATTTTACAAATAACTTTATACACCAAACTAAGCTCCACAAAGAACAGGAGAAACCGTCGATGTTATATGACTAATCTTTCATCCAATGCGCAACATATAAAAAAATTATTTTACAATACCAGATCATTTTGTTAGTACATGTTATAATTATAGTTCAACAATATTTTTATTATAATAAAAATTATAATATTAACAGAATGATCTGATATTGTAAATCAATTTTTTTATATGTTGCATATTAGGTGAAGGTTCAGTCATATATATATTTTTTTTTTTTTAAGCATTTATTTTAATGCTTTATTAAGATTTTTGAAATTACTATTGCAATTACATAAATATAGCTAACAACTAAGCCTAGCATTACCCAGCTACCCTAATGATGTCTAAGTGCAACTTGGCACATTACCTATAGTAGAAGTAAGTTGCTTGTTTAACTATTTAAAGTTTATAATAAAAGGATATTTTCTCTTTCATGACAAGCTCTCAAATTGTTTTTCTAATTTTCTTTTTAATTTATTTTTTTTTCTTAATTTTTTCTTTCTTTTTTTATTTCTTACTAATTAGTTTTTTTTTTTTTACTTAAATTTTTCTTTTTCTTCTGTTTTTTTTTTATTTTACTTATTATTTCTCTTTTTTTTCTTATGTATTCTTCAGACTTGTTTATAAAAGATGTTTCATATTGTTTTTGTTACTATATTTATAAACTGTTGTTTTGTTCTTGTACTTAATAGTTATAATAATCTGTTTTTAATTACTTTTGGAATTAGGTCTTTGATTAGTATTTTTCTTATTTCTATTTTATTTCTTTTTGTTTTTTTAAAAAGTATTATGTATAATACATAAAATAAAACTTAGATTTTTTTTCTTTTTTTAAACTTTTTCAAACTGTTACAATAAATACAGTATTTTTTGTATTCTTTTTTACAGGTCTGCTTGTCCTTTACAAGATATCAAATGTTCTTGTGTTTCTTTAGTTTTATTTTAGCAAACTTGATATTCTACTATTGTGTATATATTTGGTTTTTTTCTGTTGAGTTTTTCTAAAGTCAGAAGTTTATTTAATATACATTTTATGAAAGCATTTCATCTTACACTACTTCTTCTTATTAAATAATGTATTCCTTTTGATGACTTTAGTTTTTTTAAAAAATATATCTAATTATAAATCATTAATTTTATTACTGGTTTTATATTCTTAATTACTATTATTTCTTTTCAATCTTTTTTTAATCTAGTATTTGTTATTATTTTATATAGAAGTCTTGTTAGTAAGTCTATTTGCTTATTTTCTTACTCAAGGCAGTACTTTATTTCTTTATACTTACAATAACTTTTTTTATGATTATTATTTTATTGCTTAATATTCTTTTTTTTATAAAATTATTAATTTTATTATTTTATTTGTTTTTATTATAATTTTTTATTTTAACCTATTCTATTTGTATATTTTTTGTTCTAATTATATCAATTATTTTTAATATTCATAGTATATTTTTCCTTTTAAGAACTTCATTTTTATCTATATATACCAAACCTTTACCAATATTCTTAATTACTGCATTGCTATTTATAAATATTTTCAATTTTTCTTTTTTGGTATTGTTAAAATTGTTATCCATATTGTTAGCATCTTTACTATAGTAAACATAGGTCATCTTTTCATTCAAAATATTACTACTTCTTCTGACCAATCTTATACTTTACTTATTTGTATTTATTCTATACTTATATTTCTATCTATTGTCTCTTTTTTGTTTTTTTATTTGTTGCATTATCTATATATATTATATATTTGTTTTTGTTTCTTAATATATTTTTTTTTAAGATCTCTACTAGTTTTTAATTAATGTTCTTTTTTAGTTTTTGTTTTCTAACTAACACTACTTCTAAATCTTCTAATATTTTAAGTTTTATTAGTTTTTGTTTATTTTTTTTCAACTTTTCTGTTCTTATATATCTTATTAGTTGGTCAGTAACTGTTTTAATTATTTTTTATTTCTCTCTATTAACATATCTAGAATTATATTTATCTTATTATTGATTTTTATTCAATATTAATAGCTATTTTTTATTGTTTTTTTTCTCTTATACAACTTTTACATTTATTGATTTTAGTTATTAAATGATTTTCTATATTATGCATCTGTTAATGTTCTATTAGTAGTTTTTTTTTTTCTTTTTAATTATTTTTTCCAATTACCTATTCTATATTACATCATGCACTATCTATTTTTTTTTCTTCTATTTTTTAATAAACTTTCCTATTTAATCTTTATTGCTTATATGTTATATTTGTTTGTTTTGTATTGTTCTTTAATTTTCTGGTTTTAAATTTATTAAGCACTTTTGTTTCTATTATCTTGAACTACTCTATTTTTATGCTTTTGCTTGATTGTTTCTGATAGCTTTTGAGTTGTTGTTATGTTATTAGTCTTTCTTCTTTTGTATTAAGTAGCTAATTTAGATATATTAGTTCTGCTTTACTTATTTTAAATCTATTTTTTTTCACAGTTATAGTTTTATTAATTCAATTATTCTAGAATCATAATCACTTACTGTCCATAATTCACTTTCTGTATTATATTTATTTCTAATTCTTTTGTTTTAATTATTATCAAATAGGTTAAATTGTTCTTTCAACATGACTTATTTTTAGTAATTTTTTTATTTTTTATATGTCTTCTGTTAAGCTTGCTTTTTGACAACTCTATATTATTTTTAATTTTATTAGCTGCTCTAGTTCATCTTTTTTGTTTAGTCTTGCTACTAGATTTCTTATTTGTTTTATTATTAATTCTTATTATAGAGTTCTGTAACTATCAAGATCCTTATGTTCTATTATGCAGTTCTCTAGTGTTCTTAATAAATTGCTTTTTTGTTTTGTCAAACATATTATTAGTTGATATATTTTATTTATTTCTTTTTCTGATATCTTTATTAATTGCAACATGTAACTTAATTTTAGTATTATTATCATATTGTTTATATATGCAATCTGGCTTATTGTTATTTTCTTATACTTAAGATCTTTATTGTTTGATTTATTATCTTTTTTATTTTTTTTTATTAAAACTTTTTATATTCTATTATTTAGTCAAATTCTTAATAAACAAGCTGTTTTCTTTTATTATCTTATTTTCTTTAAAAATTATTTTTTTCTCTTTTTTTCAACTTTTTTATTTATTATTATTAGTTTTGATTTAGCTCTGTTTATCTCTATATCATTCATTTGAAGAACTCTTTTGTTACCTTTAGAGTTTTTAGCAATTGTTCTTTATTACTTGCAATCTACATTGTATTATTTGTATATATGATTGCTGCTTGACAATAACTTGTAATATTGTTACAATGTATTTACTCTTTAATTTCTTGTTTTATTATATAGTTTAACTTTTTATCTTTTTGTATATTTTCTAATAATAGATTATAAAAAAGGCATTATATTAGTAGTAATATTATTTTACCTTAATTTATTTCATTTTCTGTTATTATTTCTTTTATTAGGCCATAAATTGTAATTATTTTAAGTTACTTTTTATTAAAAGATTTAAGATATA